AAGATCCCACATGCCGCGGAGCAGCTATGCCCATGTGCCACAACTGCTGAAGCCTCCGCACCTTAGAGCCCACGCGCCACAACTACTGAGCCTGCACTCTAGGGCCTGCGTGCCGCAACTACTGAGCCCACGTGCTGCAACTACTGAAGCCCGCACTCCTAGAGCCCGTGCTCTGCAACAAGAGAAGCCACCGCAATGAGAAGCCCACGCACCGCAACAAAGAGTAGCCCCCGCTCGCCGCAACTAGAGAAAGCCTGCGCGCAGCAACGAAGACCCAACGCAGCCAAAAAAAAATTTAAAAAGTGGAATTTGAACAGCAGCCCACAAGTGGTGTGTGAGGAGAGGGAGATGGGGGTGGAACACCAGCGGAAGCCTGACTGAGAGGCCCCTAGGGCTTGGGGAGGATTTACTCTAAGGGAGCAGCTCAGGGAGCAGGCCTGGAGGCCCCCTTCCCTGCCTGCCCGGAGAAACCATGTGACCTACACGTGAGCCCCAATCAACCACGTGACCCACGGCTGCCCCAGCCGACAATTCCTTACTCGGCACAGAGAGTATGGTCCGGTCTTGTTATTTTTTCTTTTTTTCTTTCAAAAACAATTTTATTTATCTGATTGCAAAATATTAATCTTAGTAATAAAAATAAAGTCAGTACAATAAACACATATTAAAGTCACTCATAGTTCCTACCACCTAGAGAAAAATCACGAGTAAAATTTTGATTTGTATCTTCCAGAATGATTCTCTGTAAACACACACACAAGGTTTTATCTTTTCAACAGAAATGGAATTGTACAGTGTATACAGTTTTAACTTAGTATATTGTAGGTACCTTTCCATGTCAGTAAATACCATTTTAATGGCTACACCGAATTCCGTTTCATAGACTGTACCTTTTTTAACCGTGCCCTAGTGGTCAGCATCGAGGCTATTTCAGTATTTCACTATGTAAACAGTATGATGAGTGTAATCCTGGAATATACATTTTGTACACTTGACCAATTTCTTTCTCTTGGTATAAGTCCTAAGAGAGAAATTATTATGAAAAGGCATATGCACATTAAAATCTTGACTCCTGTTGCCAAATTATCTTTTCAAAAGGTTGAACCAGTTAGACCCTCACCACCAGCATTGATAAGAACCGTGTCTCTACGCTCAGCAGTGCTGGCTGATTCTGCCAGTTTTCATCACTAGGGGCTGCTTTTGGAGGCGCCAGAAGTGTTTTTCTCCTTTCCCCTCCCCGCCCTGTCTCATCTGTGGTTGACCCTCTCATTCAGTAGCTCTGGAAATTGCAGCTCCCAGAAAACATTCTGTTCTAGTACAGCTGAACTGTACTGAAAGCCTCTCAAAATCCAGAACCGGGCTTGGATTTATTAACTTGTCAGTTGGTGTGGATCTGATAGAAAAATCTCATCATGGAAGGGAACAGCAAGACAATCTTTGAGGAATAAATGGGGGGAGAAAGAAAAACTGTCTTATTAAAAAATATTACAAAAGTGTAAATGAATATTGACTACAGACCCCCAAACAATCGACTACAAAAGTGTAAATGAGTACTGCTTACAGACCTCCAAATAATTGTCAAAGAACTAAAGATGTTTTACTATAAGAGACCTCCCATCCCACTCCCTAAGCGGAACTGTTTAATATCTTCAAAAAAGTGCCATGACCTGCACAGGACAGGAGCAGGTCACCACGGGGGGCAACTGGATGGAATGGAAGACAGCAGCCGGAAGGGGGCACCCGGCAGGAGGGAAGGATTTGAAGAAGAGTAAAAATACAGCAGCAATTAAAGTCCGTACTGCATTTGCAAATATTTTCTCCCATTCTGAGGGTTGTCTTCTTGTCTTGTTTATGGTTTCCTTTGCTGTGCAAAAGCTTTTAAGTTTCATTAGGTCCCATTTGTTTATTTTTGTTTTTATTTCCATTTCTCTAGGAGGTGAGTCAAAAAGGATTTTGCTGTGATTTATGTCATAGAGTGTTCTGCCTATGTTTTGCTCTAAGAGTTTTATCGTGTCTGGCCCTACATTTAGGTCTTTAATCCATTTTGAGTTTATTTTTGTGTATGGTGTTAGGAAGTGTTCCAATTTCATTCTTTTACATGTAGCTGTCCAGTTTTCCCAGCACCACTTATTGAAGAGGCTGTCTTTTCTCCATTGTATATTCTTAACCTCCTTTATCAAAGATAAGGTGACCATATGTGCGTGGGTTGATCTGTGGGCTTTCTATGCTGTTCCATTGATCTATATTTCTGTTTTTGTGCCAGTACCATACTGTCTTGATTACCGTTGCTTTGTAGTATAGTCTGAAGTCAGGGAACCTGATTCCTCCAGCTCCGTTTTTCTTTCTCAAGATTGCTTTGGCTATCCGGGGTCTTTTGTGTTTCCATACAAATTGTGAAATTTTTTGTTCTAGTTCTGTGAAAAATGCCATTGGTAGTTTGATAGGGATTCCATTGACTCTGTAGATTGCTTTGGATAGTATAGTCGTTTTCACAATGTTGATTCTTCCAATCCAAGAACGTGGTATATCTCTCTGTTTGTATTGTCTTTCTTTCATCAGTGTCTTATAGTTTTCTGCAAACAGGTCTTTTGTCTCCTTAGGTAGGTTTATCCCTGGGTATTTTATTCTTTTTGTTGCAGTGGTAAATGGGAGTATTTCCTTAATTTCTCTTTCGTATTTTTTGTCATTACTGTATAAGAATGCTAGAGATTTCTGTGCATTAATTTTGTATCCTGCTACTTTACCAAATTCATTGATTAGCTCTAGTAGTCTTCTGGTAGCATCTTTAGGATTCTCTATGTATAGTATCATGTCATCTGCAAACAGTAACAGTTTTATGTCTTTTCTGATTTGGATTTCTTTTATTTCTTTTTCTTCTCTGATTGCTGTGGCTGAAACTTCCAAAACTATGTTGAATAATAGTGGTGAGAGTGGACAACCTTGTCTTGCTCCTGATCTTAGAGGAAGTGGTTTAAGTTTTTCACCATTGAGAATGATGTTGCCAGTGGGTTTGTCATATATGGCCTTTATTATGTTGAGGTAGGTTCCCTCCATGCCTATTTCCTGGCATATACCCTGAGAAAACCATAATTCAGAAAGAGCCATGTACCACAATGTTCATTGCAGCACTATTTACAATAGCCAGGACATGGAAGCAACCTAAATATCCATTGACAGATGAATGGATAAAGAAGATGTGGCACATATATACAATGGAATATTACTCAGCCATAAAAAGAAATGAAATTGAGTTATTTGTAGTGAGCTGGATGGACCTAGCGTCTGTCATACAGAGTGAAGTACGTCAGAAAGAGAAAAACAAACATCATATGCTAACACATATATATGGCATCTAAAAAATAAAATTGGTTCTGAAGAACCTTAGGGCAGGACAGGAATAAAGACGCAGACATAGAGAATGGACTTGAGGATACGGGGAGGGGGAAGGGTAAGCTGGGACGAAGTGAGAGAGTAGCATTGACATATTACACTACCAAATGTAAAACCAGTAGCTAGTGGGAAGCAGCTGCATAGCACAGGGAGATCAGCTCGGTGCTTTATGACCACCTAGAGGGGTGGGATAGGGAGGGTGGGAGGGAGATGCAAGAGGGAGGGGATATGCAGATGTATGTATACATACAGCTGATTCACTTTGTTATAAAGCAGAAACTAACACAACACTGTAAAGCAACTATACTCCAATAAAGATGTTAAAAAATTAAAAAATAAAGTCCGTACTGCAGACAGTAAAAACGTTGAATTGATGTTGTGGAAAGTGGAGCTCACTCACGTGGGAGGGAAACGAGATCCCTTCCCGAATAACAAAAAAAAGGACAGAGAAGAAAATATGAAGGGCCGAGACAGAGGATCAGTGGGCTTTGATTGAAAAGGAACAATAATCAAGTGCATCATCAGAGAAAACGTTTGGAGAGGAACAGGATCTGATATTGAGGCCAGAGAGGCCGTCTGTCCCGCGCGTGTGTGGCAGGGCTGGGGAGGGGTCCCTGGAAAGGGCCCTCTGCCAAAGCAGGAGATCTGCTGCAGGTTTGAATCTGTGTCCCTCGGGGTGGATGCAGCTGGATGCTTACTCTGGAGAACCCTGACCCTCAGGCTTGGCCTGGCTTCCTCTCAGGTGTAGCCTGGTGGATGTGGGAAAAAAGACCACAAGGAATCCCACCAGAACACACATGTGGTTACCTCTGAATAGGGGAGCTGTGAGTGGTATTTGTTTCCTTTTTATTTCCCTGGAATTTCCATGAGAGTAAACATTTTATTTGTTAGGTCAGTAGGCCTCTTCCTTCCCTTCCCTTCCCTTCTGCTACTTATTGCTCTGTACCCTTTGATGTTAAGCCAGGGCTGGCTCAGAGCAGAGGAGAAGGCTGTGCCTTGAGGTCAGCTGCTTTGCTCTTTCCACTCCTGGCTCACGCTGAGGGAGGGGCTTTCGGGGCTGAGGAGCCAGGAGGTGGCGTCTGGATGCACATCAAAGCCTGGGGTTCCCAGGGGTGGCAGGTGAATCCATCCCTCAGCCTGACTTTCTCAGCATCTTTCTTTTTTTAAGTCCCTGTGTTTTGCTCCTTTGAAAGAAATTCCACATATCTTTTTTTTATGGCTATAAAATCTAATTTTCAGCAACAAATCTGGATCTCTGCAGTCTTGATGGTTGTATCCTGTCTTTTCTGTTAAAGATAATTAAATTTCTTGATAAGTCAGTAGCAGATGGAAAAATTGTTGTTCTCCATTGTTGCTAATGTATGAAGAATAATTAAAACTCATCAATAACCATAAAATAATTTGCCTTCAATGATAACATCTTTACGTGTGTAGCATCTTAACAATTTAAAAGCCTCGTTAGACATTCTCTTGGACACAGAGCCCATTTGCTGGGAAAGAGTTCTGAATAAATTTTACTTATCTTCCTTTTACAGTAAGACGTTATTACTCAGTGATAATATGCAAAGTAACTTCATGATGGTGATGTTGTTTTATCTTTGTAATTACAGACATATCAAGTGGATCTGAAGCCCAATGGGTCAGAAATAATGGTAACAAATGAAAACAAAAGGGAATACATTGAGTACGTACACACTTACTTACAGCCTTTTCTTTCATTAAATTGAACAGCATGTTCGGTTGCCGTCCTTTGCCAGAACAGTTCGTGCAGATTGTGGACACGCTTCTAACAGTATGAGTTCCTTTCTGGCTTGGCCTAATAGGAAGCTGAATTATGGGATGCAAAGTTTGGCTTGTGTCATGACTTCGTGTTGCTGCCATACAGAGGAGCAGTGGGAGGAGAGAAAGGGGCCACTGTTGAGTAACTTGGCAAATACTCTGGGAGCCTGTGGGCATCTCGTCTAAAATTGAGAATTACAACAATGGAGCAGTGTCAACAGCCGGTTGGGGTAAATTTGGGAACAACCGAGGAGAACATATTCCATCTCTCTCCTGACCTCTTTTCCATAATGAAAATGTAGGAGAAGAGTTAAAATGGAGATGGAGAATTCAGCACATGCAAACATGAAGAATTGTTCCTGCTGTTTGTAATTTTCTTAATCTCAGCGTCCTTTGGTGGGACAAAATGTTGAGTCCTTTGGAAATCTAGCTGTTGGGTAACCCTAGGAGTCTGTACTGGGCAGAAGGTACAGTTGGGCAGCTTACATTTTCTTCTTTGGTATATACGTATGCCTCGAGCTCACCGTTCTGGTATCTTCCAAGGATTGCCAGGTTGCCCTTGCTAGTCCTCGAACAGGGACGAGGTCAGCGTTAACGGTGGTTGGCTCCTGGATCCTAGTTTCTGCTCATCTAGTGAGTTACAGCCATGGCCTGGGCTCCTTGTTTGCATTCAGAACTCCATTTCAACAAGCCGGGTTCCGTCCTCTCTCATCACCGTTGATCACAGGACTTGAATTCAGAGAACTGGCTGAGGAGCTTAGCATCCTTCCTTAGCATCCGCCAAAAAAAAAAAAAAAAAAAAAAAAAACCTACTCTCCTTTCTAATCAGGAAGAATTGGAGAGTGCTGGCGTCTCTACTTAGAGACCCTGACAGAGCATGGACTTCTCCACTTGCAAGCTGAAAGCTTGCTACACTTAATCAGAAACTAGAAGTAAGATACTACATTTCTTGCCTGTTCACCTTAATTGGCGCTTGTGCTGAGCTTCGACGGTCTCAGCAAGCAGACGACGTCCTGACAGCCACCGTTGTCTTCATTCAGAAAGTGTAGACTTCGAATAGATTTTTAGCAACACCCCAGGGTGACTAGGTTTGAGAGACTGAGTATTTGCACCTTGTGATACATGTTGTGCGTCATTCTTTGCAGTTAATTCTTTTAGGTTTCAAATTGCGGGGCGCCTCCACTAGCTTCACTGCAAAAAGGAGGATAGAAATCCCCGGCTGCTCCCTGCCGCCCGCATCCTCTGGTGCAAGTAGGCTGTCGGGCTGGTGCTTGCAGCACAGCCAGTAAAACCCGATATTCTGAGCAGTGAGTGGGCAGCAGGCTGGTCCTCGAGGGCCGTTGCCATGGTGCCACCTCGTATGTGAGAGCCCTTCATGACAGGGTCCTTGTGCTATTTCATGGCAGAATGCCTTAGGTGGAATCCAAAGTGGGTACGCCTGGCAGTAAATTCTGCTGTACACTAAATATTGTCACAGGGAATGTGGTTTCAGTGGCTGTCTGTGACTCCAAGAGGTTTTACCATTAATCCTCCAAGTGTTGGTATAAAAGTATTCGTGGTAAAGTACTGATAAATTATGTCATCCTTGAAAATCAGTACGTTGAATACTAGAATGAATTATCACATGATAAAATACGTTGTAGTGGGTATTCCCCTTAAAAATATGTACATGTCTGTACATAAATGTGGGTGTGTACATATGTGTGTGTGTGTGCACGCGTTATGCCCAAATACATATGTGTTCAAACCCCATTTTCCCTTTTTCTCCAAACAGTCACGTTTATAAAGCAGCTTTGATAAACGAAGCCTCGATCTGGGGGGAGAAAAGAAATCAGTCTTTCTTCTGAAACCCTTAGTGAGATTTTAGGTTCCACATGTGCTCATTATTCTCGAAAGAATCCGTGAATGAGCAGCGCGTGCCACAGCATATGCCCTCCCTCTCCTTGGCCGCCGTCGGGCTTTTCTCCCCGCCCCGCTTAACGAGAAGCAGTCGCAGCTGGGGGGAAAGAACTGCACACGAGTGATGAGCAACGTGGTTAAGGGCTGTCCGTTTTCCTCCCACAGCCTAGTCATCCAGTGGAGATTTGTGAACAGGGTCCAAAAGCAAATGAACGCCTTCTTGGAGGTAAGTCGTGTTCTCCGGGAGTCTTGCCTGTGCCTTTAGGTTGAAAGAGGACGGTTCTCCTCCTTGGGGGGCAGGGAGGGTATTAGACGCGATCACACACCCAGAGACAGGCGTGGGTGTGGGACCCAGGGCAGGAACGTCAGGCCTGCACTGCTCACAGCATCTCCAGTCTCCAGGGCAGGAGCATTGAGCCACTGCACTGCCACCTTTTCGTCTGTTTTTTTTTGGTCAGTGTTCTCTGGCTTTGCTGCTCTTATTTTTTAATTTGCCTTAACTGCTTTTAAAGAGAAATCTTTACAGACTTGACCCAGAAGGGCAGGTTCCCCCACAGAGGCTAGAACCATCATCCTGCAGCTTTTGGTGGTACCCAGGGAAGGCTGGGAGGATCTCTGCCTTTTGCTGCAGTGACGGGTTCTAAGAAATGCAAGGACTCGGGACAGTTTCCAGTCACGCCATCCCTCCATGATAATGCCTTCCACCTCATTGGTCGAACTTTTTTTTCTTTTTTTTTTTTTAAATCCCCTGCCCTTTCCTCGTGGCTGTCTGAATAATTCCTCACCTTATTAACGTGTGAAGTGGTTACTTCTCAGACCCAAGTATTTAATGTCAGTGATACTCCCAGGCCCCTGAGGAGGGAGGCCCCTCGCAGAGAATAGGGGCTTCCTCATTTTAAAAACCAGCTCCCTTTGACCCAAAGCGCAATTCCTTTTTAAATCCTGATAATGGGTATTAGTTACTTAAAACGAACAAGTCCCAGCTGCACATTACAAGAACCGATCGATGCAGGGTTCTCGCTGGGCGATGCTCTCTTAAGTTCACCCCAGTTCAGTTACCTGCTCATGGTGAGTATAGCGCCAACCCAGGCAGAACACTCAGAAAAATTCCAGGACTTAGGGTGAAACGTGTGAGTTAGAGGCGCTGGAGAACAGCAGGGTTCATACTGTATTTACACGAGAAACCTACCCGGCCCTATCCCAGGTGATCACACTTTCAGAAACTGGCCACACGCGAGGCCCAGCGACACGGAGCGTCCGTCCTAGGTCACTGCACTAGTCAGTGGTGCCTAGTCTGGGGACCGGGGCAGGCTGTCTGTGCTCCCTGGCTCCTTTCCACCCATCACACCGCCTCCTCTCGTATTTCATCTTTGCCTTATTTTTAAATGGTCCGCTTGCGCGTCTGTGGCCTGTGCCTTTGAGAACACCCTGACTCACAGCAATGTGTCATAAGTGGCTTTTGGAATCCGCCTGCCTGCAGCAACCCATATTTTTATAACATTTCAAAAATTACTCAAGTACCTGGATCTTCTGGAGTCTACTGCTTTTTAAACTTTTATTTTGTGACTCTGCTGTTTTTATCTGAACTAAAATTACTGAATACTGTCATATAAATCATCAGTGAACAGTGTATTTTTCCTGGCTAACCAAAATAAGCTTGTTTATCCTGTAAAATTTGTCTCTTTCGAGGAAAAAGGTGTTGAGAGTGCTTTTCTTTTTTTCTTTCAGGGATTCACGGAACTGCTTCCTATTGATTTGATTAAAATTTTTGATGAAAATGAACTGGAGGTTTGTACTGTAAACATTTTGTGTAAAGGAGATTTTTTTTTTTTTAAGTATCTCATTACTTCCCAACTTGGTATTTTAGTATTCTCTGATCCCTAATGTCCTAGCGAGTAAGCTTAGGTGAATTCTACTGCGGGTCTCTTAGGGGCTGGCGTGTTTGCCGATCAGGGACGAGGGGATAGCAGAAATAGTCACCTGTAGCTTCCTTGCCCGGGAGAGGGCAGATCAGGGATGCAGCAGACAGGGGGAGGCCCGCTGAGCTGGTTCACAGCCTGGAGCTGGGGTGGCAGCAGCCAGTTGGGGTGGCAGCACCCTGCTCCCAGGGTGGGGCTGGCTGAGGACCCCGGTCCTCCACGCACCCACCGTGGCAGCCGAATGGGGACTCGGCCGGGGGGTGGGTGTGAGCGCCCCCGAGGGGCTGCAGAGCAGGGGGCTCCGTGAAATCGAAGTGGTCTGTGCTGCGGAGTGAAAGCCCGGCAGAGGCAAGAAGGTGGTGGCAGGAGGTGGTTTCATGGTAGCTTGTGCCAGCTTCTCTGTGTCGGTGTAGATGAGAACTTGGAACCTGAAAAGCAAAGGAGTCTCCCCGCCTTATGTTGAGAGAAACAGGAGGAGGAAGGCTTTGTCTGCTGAGAGGCTGTTGACAGGACTCCGGCCATTTGTCCAGTGACGTGTCTCCCGTAGGCTGGCTTTTGTTCTTTTACCTTAAAATGGAAACGTCCAGATAGATGACGTCACAGACATCATGTAGAGGAAGCCCTTTGTTTGGCAGGTGGGGCGACTGAGGCAGGGAGAGGTTAATGACCTCACAGGGTCTCGTCACAGTCAGGCCCATGAAGCCGGTTTTCAGGCCTCTGGATTCGTTCTTTTTCCACTGTACGCTGGCGCCTCTGCGGGAGTATCATTCCTTCGTTAGGAGGGTTAGGTGATAAGAAAAGTGGACCCAAGACTGGTGAGTCAGAGCTGCAAGTATAGCGCTAGGACAGGTCTGCAGCCGTGGGCCACCAGGCAGGTGAGGTGATTGCCCTCACCTGGTGGATCGGTCCGGGAAGATGAGTTCTTGCTGTCATAAAGCACTAATTCTACTGTGGGTGGGGAGGTTATTTTCAACTGTTGAGACACATAACCTCTCAGAAGAGGAAACAGCCAGAGTAATGAAAGAGCAGATGTAAATGGAGCATAAGAAAATCTATGAGCACCGAGCTGCGATTTGAGGGGCGGGGAAGGTGATTGATTGGGGCTTCTGATTTCCAGCATGAAATGTGGCGGCCTGTACAAGCTTTAGAGTCGGGTCCCCCTCGTTACCTCTCAGTCTCTGATCTGCAGAGGCAGGTAGGATGTGGAACACGTATTCCCCTTCATTTGTTTTTATGGTTCGCTGGCTTATCTTGCTTTGCACGTGACGTGATGCCGGCACTGAGGAAAGGCCTTTTCTCCGGTGTATTTCTTCGGTTTTCACGGTGTGCCCTGTTTACCTCTGGGTAAATCTGGTCCATCTCCCTCCCAGTTGCTGATGTGCGGCCTTGGCGACGTGGATGTGAACGACTGGCGACAACATTCTATTTACAAGAACGGCTACTGCCCGAACCACCCTGTGATTCAGTGGTTCTGGAAGGTAAGGCCAGAGTCCGGGGTCCTGTGCTGCCTTCCCGTGGTCTTGCTGCTGCATTTGGGGCTGTGTTGGTACCTGGCCTCCTGGGGGAGAGAAGAGGCCCGCCGAGCCAGAAGCAGCCCTCACCGCTGCTTTTCTGGAACTGTGGTGGATGGCTGTCTTGAATAGGCTACACTGTCTTCCTCGACCACCTATTAAAGTGCTTTTGTTTGAGGAAACCACTGAGTAGGACGATCCTGAAAGACAGATAATTGGATTCAAGAATTAGAACTAGTCCTCCAGAGTGGGAATAGGAATGGGAGGCTTCTCAGGGCAAAAGCATGCTTTGGGGCTGACTTTTCCAAGATGCCATGTTGGTTTCAAAAACCATTTTCCCAACTTTTTTTGTTAATTCCAACAAACATTTTGATCTTTACATCTTCCAATCAAAGATGCAAATGAAATCTGATTTACTCTCTAAAGACCAGTGTTTACATCCTTTTCATTGCAGAAGAGAAGTGAAATAGTAACGAGCGGGTCCAAAGGAGGGCAGTAAACTGACTTTGAAAGAATTACAGGGGGAAAAGCGCTGATTATTTACTTACAGAAATAAGAAATTATTGACCTTGTCTTAATTTCTAAATGTCTGTTATTAATAACATTTCAAGTGCAGCAGAGAAGCAGAGAGAAAAGGAAGTAAAGCAGAATCTTCAGATCCTAACATCTTAGTCCAAGTTTCGCTCAGCCTTGATTTTGGATATATTTTTTTTAATATCAGTTCAAGTAACTTTACCAGTGAAGCCAACTCGATTCTTAGAATAATTCAGATATGTAAGATACACAGATTATTTCAGAAGCCTAGCCTGGCCTCTTTTTCTTTCTTTTTCTAAAATGTTGTCTTTAGAGAATTTAGCTACAGTCAAATATCCTGCCTCGTAACCTGGGTTCCCCCTCTCAAACTGTGTGTATTTCTAACTGGCTCAGGGGGACCGTCAGGCCTCACATACAGAAACATGAGCCCGGTACCATCAACAAGTGTGCTTTTTTTTTTTTAGTTTACTTTTGGCTGTGTTGGGTCTTCCTTGCTGCGGGCGGGCTTTTCTCTAGCTGCGGCGAGCGGGGGCTCCTCTTCGTTGCGGTGCGCGGGCTTCTCATTGCAGTGGCTTCTTGTTGCGGAGCACAGGCTCTAGGCACACGGGCTTCGGCAGTTGTGGTTCGTGGGCTCTCTAAAGCACAGGCTCAGTAGTTGTGACACACGGGCTTAGTTGCTCCGCGGCATGTGGGATCTTCCCGGACCAGGGATTGAACCCGTGTCCCCTGCATTATTAGCAGGCAGATTCTCAACCACTGTGCCACCAGGGAAGTCCCAAGTGTGCTTTTTTTTTTACCACTTATTTTGACCAGTTGGCAGAAGAAGAAAGAGACATTGTGATCACTCAGTCTGAGGTTGCAGAGGCTGGTATTGTGATGTCCATAAAAAAAAAAAAAAGTTGCAGAGTCAACTGTCTAGGTCTCCCACTGCACTATAAATAAGATGAAGTTTTGCCCATCTGCACTGCAGCAGACGTGCCTCGTGTTACATGAGCATAATGACCTTCTGCCTCCGTTCATAGGCTGTGCTGCTGATGGACGCTGAAAAGCGTATCCGGTTACTCCAGTTTGTCACGGGGACGTCCCGAGTCCCTATGAATGGATTTGCCGAACTTTACGGTGAGCAGGGTACCGTTAGACTTCGTCCTCCCACCGTGAGTCTCTACCCAGACATCAGCTGTGGCCCCCGAAGACTCTGCCTCCCGGGCTTCTAGCCATGTGGGTTTCGCCTGGACCCAACAGACATACATCACGGAAAGAGATGGGGCGGCGTGCCCTCACCTCAGCTGTCTGTGCAGTTACCTGTATCTAAAAGCAGGGGGTTGTATTTGTTTTTATACAGAGAGCCATAAGATTGGTCTCTTTTTTCTTTCTCTTTTGTTTTTTGGTATATATTCAAAAAACAACTAGATTTTGCGGAATCATCCGTGTGGTTGTAAACTGAGCATTGAAAGCCCTCCTCCCCTCCACGAGGCAGAATTCTTCAGGGCTTACTATAGATGAAAAAGTCACTCTCTGCTCGACATATTAAAGGTCATCACGTTTCAGTTTTTCCCCCGGAAGCAGTTTTAAATTTAAACTTCCAGGGCTGGATTGAAAGGCTGTGGTTGTCTGCACATCGTTACGTTATTGTGTCGGCTCTGTTCAGCTTGGTGCGATTCCATTCTGATGGCGACACAGAGTCTGTGTCCTGAGGTCGTGCAGACCCTTTGCGTCCCCCCCCCCCCCCCCCCCCCCCCTCCCTGTGACGTCACAGCCACAGAGGGTGTCCCAAGGCTCACCCCCAGGCCCGCCCTGCCCACCCCTTCCTTTCCTTCAGCCCCTCCTTTGTCTTGTTCTACTGCCTTGAGCACTCTTAGCATTTCTTTTTCTTTTTTTTTTTGTCTAGGTTCCAATGGTCCTCAGCTGTTTACAATAGAGCAATGGGGAAGTCCTGAAAAACTGCCCAGAGCTCACACATGGTGAGTGACAAAAAACCACACAGTTGTTGACAGACAGTATTTTAAAACACTTAGCTGAGTATGATGCTGGGCTACAGGCTAGAGTGCTACTTTCCCTGACCATTCAGCGTTTAGAGTATGAACTCTCAGTGATACAGGTGAAAATACAGATCGTACAGTGATGCTGGTGAAATTAAACCACCCAAGATTTGAATGGGCCCGGTTTTTTTGATATGTGAAGGGTTGAATCCCCATTCCTGCTTCCTGAGGGGAGTTCCTCCTCCAAACCCCGTCCTTCCCTAATTATTCTGGGAAGCAGAGATTTCACTATATATTCTCCCGATGTGGATACGACCGCTCCCAGCCTCTGAACAGATTGAGTTTTTACCCCAACCTTAAATGGTTTAGAACCATGGATGAAATTCCCTTTGGCAACAGTTTTTGAAAGGCCTCCCATGGCCATCCAGAACCCGTAAGTCTGAGATTTAGCAACGTGCGTGTGGCCAGAGGAGTGTCAGAGGTCCGACCAAGGACCCCTGCTCAGGGAGGCACGTGCGGGGCACGGCTGTGCTCCGAAGGCCTCCGGGTGCAGGGCGGGAAGGAGGCCTTCCTGGAGGGAAACCCCAGGAGTTTCGTGAAACCCGGCACAGAGATGACCTCAGGAGCTCTCCGGGAGCTCCTGTCACTCGGGCTGCCGTGTCCCCGGGGTTGGTCACCCCACAGGATTTGATTTCTTGCTCTTAGGAAGCAGGTGGAGGGGGAGCCCTGTGGGCTGGTCAGCACCCAGCATCCTCCTTTCCCACGGGAACTGGGGCTGCCGGGGCCACTGGGCCGTCCTGTGCTGCCCAGCGCAGCTAGGAGAGAGATCTCATCAAGGTGCGTTTGTGGAAAATGGGCTGTGAAAGGCCTTTTGCTTCTCTTCGACTCCCTCGTCTCGCCGGAAAGCACGTTTTTCCCCATTTCTACCATTCGTAGGACTCTGAGAGGAACGGATGTGGTCCCTGCCCGCTGGCACCGGGAGAGCGGGCTGGTTCTCGCTACAACTGGCCGATCGCCAGAGCAGGCAGTGTCCCTTGATCCTCTGCCTTTATTCTTGGGGGTAGAATGTTCTGGCCGTGGAGCTTTTGTTCCAAACGATAATCAGTCAGGTGTAGCTTTCCGGGCTCAGTAGCCTTCATTTGGAAGGCAGCCAGCACTGACCCGAGCCCCAGCACTGGCGGGATGTGGGGGGAGAGCTCCCAAACTCAGCTGGAGGAACAGCTGCTTCACTGGGCGCGGCTGTCCTGCGTGGGTCAGACCCTCAACCTTCTGGCAGCCTGAAGTGCACTGTTAGCCTTCCTGGGGGCTCTGGGGAAGCTTCCTCGTGATCCCGTAGCGCACAGGCTCCCAGATCCTGTGATTTGAACTCGGGTCTGCCAGGATTCCAACCCCTGACCACTTCAGTTAAGCTACTGCCTCTGTGATACGGTTCACTTTCTTTCCAGACTCTTCAAAGAGAACCGAGTAACTGAGTGTTCATCCCATGACCCTCTGTGGCCCTGTAGACAGATATCTTGCAGTTGGATTCTTCTTCTATTTCGGAGTTCACGTGCTGAGCCACCACTAAAATAAGGGGCTGCCCAGATAAGACCCTGTACTCAGCGGCTCTCAACCTTGGCTACACGTTGGAACCACCTAGAAAGCATTAAAAAAAAAATACTGGTGCCGGGATGGGTCCCACTTCCAGAGATTTTGACCTAGTTGGCCTGGTGTGTGATCTGGGCCGTGGGGTTTTCAGAGCTGCCCAGGCGGTTGGTGAGGACAGCTAGGGTGTAGAATCATTGCTCTTCCTTAGGCAGCACAGAGGTCTACACACAGGAGGAAAGCAACCCCTCCAGCTCTTACCAAAGCCTGGCTTCTTCTCTGTGTGTCACAGGATTAAAGCATTCAAGGAGTTTTTCCTTCAATGATGCTCTCCCCAGACCAAGAGGAGAGCGCTGGTTCTACTGAAGCCACACCGGCTGGTGGGGTGGGACTTACTCTGTTTTCTCTGCTGTGGCTTTCCTTCCATCCAGCCCCGCCTCCCGCTGTAACGTAGGAAACAGGCGCTTTGCTGGCTGCTTCACAGCGACAGCCGTATATGTGGCGAAATAAAACCTAGCCACACGTATGTTTAATCTCTTCCATGTTTTATGAAAATGTAAAAAACACAATTAAGCTTCAAAATTAAAACCTGATTTACTAGGAGAGCAAGGGCGGGTGGAGCTGCTTCTCTCTGAGCTTTCATGAAACTCTCAGACGTAACTGCTGAGTGTCTCAGCATTAAAGGCCTTCATTCCTCTGTTCTGTCAAAGGTCACTGCTGGGATATCTAAAATTCCGCTTTACTAAGAATCACAGACCCACCTAAAAATAACCTCCTTTGGCCACACGACGAGGCTGAAGCCACTGAGGTTAATGAGGTCACACAGCTAGTTGGTGGCAGGCCAGCCCTGTCTCCTGACGTCAGAAGTAACGGTAACACTTGTTAAGCTCTACTGTGTTCCAGGCATCACCCTAAGCACTTCATGTATATTAACCCATATCATCGTCACAACGACTCTAAAAGGTGGGTCATATCACTGCCCTCTCCTTACAGATGGAGAAACTGAGGCACGGAGCGCTAACATAATTCCAGACCTCAGCTCTTAACATTCCCCTGTTTGCCTTTCTCTCTCCATTACTCCAGTATTTCTCAAACTTGAATAATGTATGGACCTTTTTCAAGGGAAAAAATGGCCACAGATCCTTGAAACCCCACAGGGATTGCAGGCCCTGGACTGTGAAATACCAACTTAAAATCAAGACGACAGCCACCTCTTCTCTTAAGTATACCCTGCAGAAGTGGAATTCTGTCTCTGTCACTGGTGGAATGATGTTTGAAATCATTATCATGATGAAAACCAAAAATTGAAAACTTCTTTTAGACTTACGCCTTCAGGATTCCTGGGTTTCTGAGACCTCTGGTTTGAGAAGCACGGTGTTCTGCTCTGCTGTGTCTTTTGATGTTTGGTGACTGTTAAAAAAAAAAAAACAATCTCAGAGCTCAGTGTGTCTTACTAAATACTTTAGGGGTTGTTAAAGGGCCCACCATGGACATGTGTCTGTTTCCTACTGCTGCTGATAATCATTAGCTTTTAAAACATAAGAAGTTGTTCTGCTCGTGCTTGGAAACCTATGTCAGTGCCAGGAGCGAGCACTTTTAAATGCTGAGGCAGCAGAAGCAGATCTGGGCTTTGGAGCCAGCCTGGGGCTGAATCCTGGCTCTACCGCTTACTGTGTGACCTTGGGCAAGTTACCCAACCTCTCTGTGCCTTGAATTCCTTCTCTATAAATAGGGATGAGGCAGTACCTACCTTACAGGCTGGTTGCTGGGATTCACTGAGGTGATAGATGAAAAGTCCTTAATGGTTCTAGCACGGGGCAAATGCTCTACAAATGTTAGCTCTTACTAAAGCATCGTGAACGAAGGCACGTGTGTACGTGTGTGTGTGCGTGTGGCTATCGTCATGACAGGTGCCCACCAGCAGCCCACCTGCACGGGCACCAGTTCTGTGTCTGGGGCTCTAGCTCCTCATGCCCAGTGGGGGCCGGCGGTGAATGGTGTGTGAGTGATGGCAATGGTCGCTGGCTCTGGGGCTTGCTGTGTGCCAGACCCCCTTTATATGTTCTGATCTGACCCTCCCAGCACTCTGCAGCAGTCTCCCCATTTCACAGAAGAGCAGACAGATTTAGGGACGGAGGCGACTTGTCTGAGGTCACACAGCTGGCCGGTGGCAGAGACAGACTTTGAACTCAGTCCCATGGACAAGTGCAGTCCTTTGCTCACAGAGGTCGCATGTATGTATGGAGACCTCACTGTCACCGAGGTGACTTGTAACGCCCCTGCCAAAGCCTCAAGGTATGTAGGGGCCTCTTATAAGTGAGGCTTTTCACTCCACGTGTTGATGACTTGCCTGACTTTGGTTAGAGGGTAGCTCAGTGTTGGGGTCCCAGAGCTGCAGGCAGCCTGGGTTCTGGTCTCGCATCTGCGGTGCTGTCAGGGGTGAGACCTGGGGCATGCTGACCCACCGCTGGGCTCCGGGACCCACATCTGCAGGACTGAGAAAACGTAACGTGCCTCACAGGGCTGCGCTAAAGACAAAGCGATATGTTACGTGGAGAAGCGCTGGGGCTTCCTAAAATAGTGTCGAATGAAGGAGAGCGTTAAAAACAGATGCAGCCTCGGTTCATCCTGCTGCGGAAGTTCTTTGTGTTTCAAGGGTTTTGACATCTCTGTGTGTATGTCAGTTACGTTGCCTGTCTTGTCTCCCTTCCTGGCAGGGTTTTCCAGGATCCACGTTTGGTCCCAGTAGAGAGGGTTCATGGACGATCAGAAAATTCCTTTCTCTTCCCCCGTAGGTTACTATAGCATGTTTGGTGTGGGCAGTGTCATCGCTGGAATTTACTTTTCGATAATCAGAAATATTTTTGCGAGTTGAGACTTTGACATCCTCCTGCTGGAACACCAAGTGCCCCCTTAGCCAGATCTAGGAAGTGCTGCGGTAACTAAAGGGCAGTGATGATGGCTTTTTACCTACGCTTCCTTGTTAACTTTTGCAGCTTTAATCGCCTTGACTTACCTCCATATGAAACCTTTGAAGATTTACGAGAGAAGCTTCTCATGGCTGTGGAAAATGCCCAAGGATTCGAGGGGGTGGATTAAGTGCCCCCGGCCTCGGGAGGGTTGTTCTTCATGCAAGTCCTGCTTGCACTTTTGCATTCGCCTAACAGACTCTGCAGAGATGCTGGCAGAGAGCAGCGCACGGCGCGGACTCCTGGAGCAGAGCCTTCGCCCGCGACTTGCCCACGCGCCAACATGGGAACCCAGTCCCAGGTTGCGTTCCTGCATTTTCCACCACAGATTACCAACTGGTTGATGTGTATACTAATTACATTTTAGGAGGACTTATTCTATTTATGTTGTGCCTCTGTAGGCCAAGCCCTTAATAAATATTTTACATACTTTATAATGACAGCGAATGGAATTAATCACTCTACAGGTATAGTATTACAACTCATGTTTACTTTTTAAAATGATTTAGACCGATTTGCAGATTTTATTTCACTACAATTAAAGATGTCTCATGTACTTGGAAAAGTGAGCATATTATTTTTTTGTATTTGAATTTCACGCCAGGTTTAATGTCAGTGACATTTTTAAAGTACTTGGACAGCCCCACGCCCTACCTGATTAGCATTGGAAGAATGACTTTTGTCCGAAAGCCTCCTACAGACAAATACTTGGAGAGAATTTAAACCATAACATTAGGCATCATGACGATTTTTTCCATGCTCAGAATGAAAACAAACTGGATAATTACGTTTTTTGTACAAATTTAGCATAATAGCTGCAGGCTGAGAGCATTGTAACATAGCATGACAAACTTTGTGTTGACTTGAAGGAATCACACCATTATTCCTTAGAGGCAGTTACGTGTGCTAGAACACACTTGAGGCAGGGTTGGACTATCGTTTTCTCATAAGAGAAGTTATTTACTTAACCCTTCCTGCTGCTGTACAGTCCTTCTTCTGTCATGTCTTCCTCTTTGCTGTTCTCAGTAGAGACACTTGAACGAAACTTGGCACTGCGCGATTTGAAACTGTGGGAACCAGGCCTGTGCAGCCTCCTGTTTGTACACGTTTGCTGTTGGCGGCTAAATAACCAACTTCTGCTCTAGCCGCGCCAATTCTGGAGGCGCGTTATGTACGACGTGGAGGCCACATCTGGTTCCTGGGAGGGCTTTGTCAGGCGCGTTGACTGTGAGGCTGATGTCTGCCCTCTGCACACGCCTTTCCGGTGCAATAGCTGTCAATCGTGAAGCTGGCTGCTGGCATATAAAGCCTGGCTGTAAAGCTCAGCCTGCAGACCCGTCCTCGCCAGTCGTTCTGTGATTTCTGTGCCGCTGCCAAGATTCACAGACAGTTAACCTAACCGGGTTTTGTTCCCCGTGACATGTTGCATGCGTCCATACCGTGTACTGCCCAAGTTGTGTCCGTCGTGTGCTGGATTAGACGTGCGAGAGAAGGCTTGATCTGATCCCCTGACGTCCGGCTCTTCGGCTGGTCCTGGCGGGGATGGAGGGTTCTGTGGGATTCGATCCTTGGCCGCTTGTGAGTCCTTGTTGCAGAATTCTGTCATGTTTTGAGAGAACGCTTGAGGCAGGGCGGGAGTCCAGCAATCCTGCCGTCCTTCTTAACCTGTGTTGTCCTAGACCCGTGGTGGCAGTCAGGGGACACTAGCCGTCTCTCCTCTTGCCAGTTGTAGATAAGACAATAAAATCGTGGTTTCAGGGCCTCCATTTAGGATCTTTTGGCGTTACAAACTCAGTTTACCCCGGCTCTGGGTGGCTTGTGGGAAGCCACGAATGTTTGTGCTTGTCAAGGAGTTTTCTGAAGCGGCGCAGAGGCCTAGGTGTCTAAAAGAAGGTGGATTTCTCCAGAGCTGAGGATTGTTCCCTTTTCGTATTGATTTTTAAAAATCCAGTAGTGATCAGAAAACCTAGGTATTGCGTAATTAGAAAAAACGATATTGTTCATTATTTTTACCTACTGGTGGGATTTTTTTCCCATCACTCAATGTAACAGATGTCTCAGTGGCAAACCTCCCCCTTCCTGTAGCCCCTCAGGTCCAGACTCGGCTTTCTTTTTATGACTTATGCCAAAGCCTGGGAGAGCAGTATGCTTGGATGGGTTCTGAGAGTGAGTGTGTAATTTATAGGGGGAGAAATCCAGCGATTCTTGTCTAAGAACTGGGATTCTTCTTTTTGTAAACTGTGTATTCCAAATAATCAGAATATTCACTAAATGCAAATTAGGCAAAGTATTGAAAATAAGAAAGAAAACCCATCCTAAGATAATTTCTGTGCCAAGAACAGATAAGAATTACCGAAATAGACCCCCATGAATACTTGAAAGGCAGTAACTGTGAATGACAATTCAGCTCATCTATCCCTTAATATCTGATTTCAGTGACAGCTCAAAAGTGCCGGGTCTAGAGTTTGTTTGGGGGTTTTGGTTTTCTTTTTTTAATCCAAATAACGTTCCCTGGCTCTCATCAATTCTCAGCGTTTCACTCTTTGTCTAACATAGTCACCCATCTTGTTTCCTCTCAACGCTGATGACCACTCTCCATCACCTTCGCGACGTAACCACAGAAGGCAGTAAGGAAAATGCACCGCATGGGGGCAGGCTGCCGGGCGGTCCCTTGGGCCTCTGCCTGCTCCGGTCAGCGGGCCTGGGGGACGACGGCAGGACGGCGGTGTCACCTCATCTAGTCCTTAGCAGCAACGCTACTCCGCTGTCCAGGGTCTCTTAGAGCTTCTGCTTTCTTAGAAGTTACCTGAATCTAGCTTCTTCAGTTCACTGAAACAGAGTTGTTCCGGGCCATTTTGCCTTGAGGTTAAGAAGTGCAGTGCGTGCCAGGGTTTACATACATATCGCATGTTGAAGGTCTTTTAAACCTCGGTTATCACAGCCACCTGTAAAGTCCTGGGTATTTCTATTTCTGACTCCTGTCAGCCTAAAGATGAATTTGGAAAGTCCACCCAGTGGGCTTAGCTTCAGAGAGTGTGCTGCTTTTCTACCTGCTGCCTCTGGAACGGGAAACAGCGAGGCATTCGTCTCAGTGCTCTTTCTTTTTTCCTGAAATACTTGCCATTATTTACCAAAGGCCCATTGGTAGCTAACGTCAGATACTCCCTAAGGTCAGATGACAGATGCTTAAAGCAACCTGACATGGATTATTCCTCCCACATAAGGATGCAATGACAGATTCTGAGAGAAATGGTTTGCAAAATGTTTGAACCACTTTCTACATCTCATTGTTAAACAGAACAGTTAGATTTGCTGCATATGAACTTGCTCTTCAAGAGAACCAATTTGGAACTGGCAAGATCACACAGCAATGGTACATGTTGTCTGACAGTTACTAATTGTTCCACACGTGACTCAAGTATTTTCCTAGCTCTTGTATCTCACCTCTGAAATTACAGACTCTGAGAGCCTGGGTTAATCAATTCTCAAGCCCCTACCCAGGCCCTGTGCTAGCGCTTCTCTTTGTTTGCTCTTTCCTCCTCACCCTGACTCTGCACCCCTGTACTGACTCTGGTGTCATTTTCTGCCTTGCCAGTAGGGGGCACTGCTGTGCAGGGTAATTGCCTGGCCTGCTCCCGTCCTGACCCCCCAGGAGGTCTTGCACTACCTCCGTCTTATTCAGACTTCAGGGTACATCTTGATAAGTCAAGTCAAAACTGCCAATTTTAGGGCTGAGATGTGTTTTTTTAAAAATCCTTATAGACTCCACTTTGTACTTTAGATTTTGAAACTGGGAAGAAAATGTGACATACTTTGGACCACTTTTTTTAATTTATCGAAGCCTTAATGAACAGTGTATATACATTTGCATACACACACACCCCGACCCAAAAGTGTTTTCAGTGCGTCGGAGACAAAGCTGTAGCATTAGGACGTGAGCTGGTATGTTTCATAGAAAAGGAGAGCTTTCTGTTGGTATGGAATTTTCCAAGAAAACCTCTCATTAGACTGCTCCCCTTCGTCAAAGGTGTTAGGTGCAGAGCAACGCATGTTTAAGATGCATGTCTTTGTGTTGGTTGGTTTTGTGTTTGTATGAGTAATGATAGAATATAACAACATTGGCGACAGACTGTGTACTACCTTCTCAATCTGTATCAGTGCATTGTAAGCCTTCTCATGACCATGACCCTGTGTCCACACATCTGTGCTCCTACATAAACCAGTCTGCCCCTCTTTCTCAGACTAATTTCACCTAGATTGTCACGGTTTCCTTCATGTTAACTTTGCATATCTTTGTGCTTCCTTCACTACTATGTATGTAATATATATACGTACATATGCTGTCCAAATATATCTTTACATATTTGTATAGCATTTTTACACCTACCTTGAGGAATCTGGTTTCGAAAGGGAGTGAGAGTTTAGTCCCTTCTACAGTTTTCTCCAAGCTGTGTCCTGAGAATTCTGACCCTCAGAGCCTGAGAGCACCCCAGGAAGATGATGATATAATATGCCGTCATCTCTTAACTCAGCACCTATTATCAAACGCAACATGAAAAAACAGTGACTTTTAAGGTGAAAAACAGTTTCAAGCATTCCAAATGAATTCTCAATGTTTCATAACTTTTTATTATAAACCCACCTCCTAAATAAAGCCAAGTACCATTTGATACAGTGATTAAAAACCAAACAACTTGGAAATTTTTTAGAAGACAACGTATGGATAAATGCTCATTTTCACAATCAGAATAGCTGTAAAGTACGGTTGAATTTGATACAGACAGAAAACGTTTAGTTGAAGGACAAATCCTTTTTGCTTTTCGTTTTTCTTGGGAGATCTAAAGAGCAATTGTGGATTGTTTTCCTGACAGCAGAAGAGTAATGTGACAAAATGAAGTCGTTGTAAAGAAGTGATGCAACTTGTCAAATATTTAATAAAGAATTATGGAAGCTGGAACTTTTTCTACATCACGTATTACGGGTTGTCTGATTTAAAGCTTCTTTGTGAGCGCATCGCCTTGATTGTCTCAGAGGTTATTTAAATGCCTGCGGATTTATAGATAGTATGTTCACGTCCTTAATCTCCCTAGAAGTTCCACATCTTTAAAAACATCATTAAAGGCTGCCCAGAACCCATGGCTTGAGCTTAATGGGATGCACCTCTATTCTTAGCCGTCTGTCTTTTTATTAAATTTGAGAATTAATGACTTGAGATGGATTACCCAAGTGGTAATATAACGTCCATTCCTGGAAAGGCATATTTCACCTCTAGTTTTCATCTGACTAACCCTCAATTTATGTCAGTTAATGAGACTCAGTAATGAAGCTCAAGGTGGTTCTCAGAAGGGAGATGCTATCAGAATCCAGATCTCGTGTCAATTCCCTGATAAAATACGTAGACTCCTCAAAATTTTTTTCCCTTTTCTCTAGTGCCTAAGCCTCCTCTCGATGGCCTTAACTTGCTCCCTCCGGGACTGCCAGGAGGTAACATCCAAATCAGGACATAATTGCATCCTGGTTTCTTGCTACTTGTCCGTTTCAGTCAGCTGTAGATGGTATCTTGCTGGAAAGGTATCGACAGCCTTCTGAGTTCCTGCGGCTTCCTCCAGCCTTAAGGAACAGACAAGGACGGTACCGGCAGATAGAGCCACTCTGAACTTTGTATACGCTCACAGAGAAAAACACAAATGATGAGATACATGAAATAGGAATAAATCATCATACATCAGTTACACAGTTGCTAAGTTAGGAAGCTCTTAACCTGCTCTGAAGTCCAAGAGTGATCTAGGCACTTCTGAAGCTCTAATGTCCCTGGTAAAATGGTGAGCGTGGGTATCCAGGGCTTCTCATCGCTGTGGCTGGCTCTGGGGAGCCACGTTCAAAGGGGTCCCTGGACATAAGAGGGCAGATGCCACTTTCCCGTCCCTTTGGTGCGCCCTCATCTGGGAGACGACACTTCTCAAAACTGAGTTTCCAGAGGACTCGGGCTGTGGGATGTCTAAGCAAGTTTTTATAGGGCTTAAATTGGACAGGAAAACAAAATGATGGTGACTTTTAATAAGACCCAATACGGACCCCTTCGTAAGTGGGCTGCAGGACCCTGGCCCCAGCTCGGGACACCCACTGGTGGGGACTGAGAAGGAGAGAACCAAGATTCCCTTTGTAGGGCTGACCTCAGGCCCAGCCTGAGGAAAAGGTGAGTCCAGTCAGCCTGTCACCTTCCCGCTCAGCCCCTTTGTAGCACCCCAGCTCCTCCCCAGCCAGTGTCCCCAGGCTGTGCCTCCTTCCCTTTCCCTACGAATCCCACATCCAACCTAGCCTCAAGTCACAGGTGACAGAGGACGAATTCAATGGAAAGCAGTGGAGCGGCCGCCCCCTGCCCCTGGGCAAAGCGGCATCTCCCCTCAGCTGGGCCTTGGGGTGCCCTCAGCACCCAGTGCCTCAGGGAGGAGGTCGGAGGCCCCAGCCGCCCATGATCAGCGCAGCCCAGGCCCCCTCGCTCGCGGCTCCTGTGTGTCCGCCTGCTGGACTTGCCGGGATCTTGAAGTCTGAGCTGCCTGTTCTAACTTAATCCCGTCCTTGGCCGGGTGTCCAGCCAACTTGCCGCTTCAGGTGCTCCCGTAACACATGGATGGGGCACCGTCACCTGCATTTCTGCAGCCTCAGGGCATCGCTCACCGTAGGAACAGGGCACAGAGCCGCAGAGACAGGGGCTCGGGGCCTTGATGGTGCGAGGGGAGAACACACGTTTCCTCCCAAAGCCCTCTGCTCGCCTCTCCTCACCCTAATGCCTGGGGAGAGCCTTTTCTTCTCTCTGCAGAAGAAGTTTGCTCGCAGACAAGTTAGCTTGGGGGTCGTGTAAGGGCCTTGCAGCAAGGAAAGCTCCCGCCTGAGCACTGAAGATGACTGAGTGACAGCGGAGAGGCGCATCCCACTGTGATGAAAGGGAAATGATACATTTGGGCAATTTCTAAGCAACACCGTACCGTGGGGGTTTTACATACAGTTCCCAGAACTAAGAAGTTACCAGTTTTCAATCCTTCGTGGCCTTGTTCAGACTGAGTAACAAGACCAGCTAAAGGCAGATGATTATTCTGCACCGTTATGTGCCCGGGGCTCATCAAGCTTCGATCCCACGATTGCGGAATGTTTGACTCAGAAGGGCCTTGGCCGAGTGGGTCCCGAAGGGCCTTGGCCGTGTGGGTCTCGGCTTCTTGCCTTCGATCACTCCCTACCTGCCCAGTGCTGTTAGCTTAGAGGACCAGGGTTGGTCCTCACTTGTTGCCCTCGGGAGAAGCCAGGGCAGCCCTGCAGAGACTGAGTGATCCGCATTCCTGGGAACTGCACGCCCCCAGGGAGGGGCGATTAGCTTCTCAACGGTGCCCCTGTGGGTCCCTGGGGGCTAGTGTGACCTCTCACCCTGTCCCTTCCCTCCAGCGGCTTGTCTGCAGCAGAAGGGCTGCTCGTCACTGAGCCCTGGGCAGAAATGAGGGCAGGAGGGGCGCTAGCGGCCCAGCTGGGGACAGGCAGCCACCAGGGTCAGGGTCAGGGTCAGACCCGTCAGTATCCCACTTCAGGCAGAAAACCTAGGTTTTCAGGGGAACCCTGGAAACACATCAAGCTGGTCTCATTCCCTAAACCCCTCGGGGGGAGCAGAGTGCAGGAGGCCCCATGGGAGGGAAGGGCCCGAGCACAGAGGGGTGCTGGGTGAACTCCAGGCAGCCTCTCGCTTCCGAGCCGACTCGACACCAGAATGATTTTTAAAAGCTTCAATCAACCTCAAGTGACATCATCCGAGACGGGAATAAATCCTGGTAGACAAGCGCAGGAAATTTTGTCTCCTCTCACTGCTCCCTCTGGATTTCCCCACGTCTTCCTCAAAACACAGGAGAAGCCCTTGAGCAGAGTAAGGGCCCCCGACACGCCGAGCGCAGAAGCTCTTTGTGGAAACTGGAGCTCCGCCCACCCGAGGACATGTCCACTGTCTGCACAGTAAACTCTAAGAGTTGGAGGTGCAGGGGTCTCTCATCCCACCTTCCGCAGCCCCCAGGCAGAGCCCCACCCCCACCCCCGCCTCGCCTAGTCACGTGGCCACACCTAACCGCAAGGGAGGCTGGGAGATATCCAGCAGCGCCCCGAGGACAGGGCAAGGAGTTTGGGAACAAGCAGCCTTCGGCATCGATCTGTAGAATGAATTTCCCCTTGGGATAGTGGCCTTGCTGACATCTCCGAGCCTCCGGAGTCTTCAATTTACTCTCTTAGGTTAATAGTACTACTACTTCCCGTCTAATACGATAGATATTATCACCCTCAACTTACGAGGAAACAGACCGGGAGAGCAAAGAGTCTTACAGAAGAGAGATCTGAACCGGGGTTGTCTGACTCAAAGCCTCCATGCAGCCACTCACCCTGGCCCATCCTCTCCACCAAACCTCGTCTCGGAGAGAAGAGCCCAGACACCCATTTACACCAAGATGTAAACATGACCGATCAGACGACATGCATGACCCCTTCTAGAAGTATTCAAACTCCAGAGGTGAAGCTTGGCTTCAACCAACAGGAATAAAGATAGAAATTATGGCATCTACGCATCAACAAACTGAGTGGAGGAGGGCTTTTGAGGGCAAAGGCCCTGTTTCAAGCCACAAAATCCAGTGTGCATAAGGGACACCCACCTGAAAAGACAGGCCTGTTCCAAGAAAAACCCCAGCCCCTCACGGGGAGCCGCTGTGCCTCTCTGGCCGCCGCCCCAGGACAGAACTCTCCACCGTCAAAAGCAAGGGCCCCGTATTTTCCAGATCCCAGGGCAACACGAGCATCCCTTAGTCGAACGGAGTTGAAGGGCCACAGGGCTGGGTTCTCTACTCTCAGGAACTATGTGATGGAGCGCCAGGATGTACATTTCCTAAAGAGTTTCTGTTTGATAAAGGATTTTAGATATTAACTTATACTTAATATTATTTGTGGTGGAAAGTTTAGGTTTGGGATTTGTCTTTTGAATTCCAGTTACTCAGCTCTTACAAATTTGAAGAGGCCCTCTGCCAGTGCGGTCTTCTCCTCTCCGACCCCCAGCCTCACCCCGCTCTGGTCCACCCCGTCTGGCCTTCTGCACAGCCTATATTTACTCAGAAGATCCTTGCTTGTTCATCAGTTGAGGTTATCAGGGGACATGCCCTCCCCATCCTAATGAGTGTTTAAACAAAAGTCAGGCCTTTGAACCCCTGGACTCCAGTTAAAAAGTAACAGGCTGGGGATTGGATCAATAGGAAACAAATATTAGCTATGGAGGCCAGAGAGCCACAGCATTGGGAAATAACCGTTGCTGGTGACACGGAGTGAGCAATGGTCATGCCTGTCTTGGAGGTCCGGGAACCCTGTGGACCCCGGTGACCTTGGGCCAGTCATTTTCTTGCTCTACAAGTTAAACATGGAAGCCACCAACCCCTACGTTCGCTTGCAGGCAACTCCTTAGGTCTGGACGGCTGCCGTATCATCCTAAAGCGTGTGTCCACTTTCTTTCCCTTCCCCAGTCGTCCTACACTCTGGTTAGCCTGCCTCCAGAACAGGTCTGGTCACACCACTGGGCAGTTCACTGTGTCCACAACTTGCCCTTGAGCTCCTGCCTGGTGCTCAAGGCCATCCAGGGCATTTGGGCAACAGGAGAGCAGACCTCTAGGTGGTCACACCTAACACCACTTTCCCAGGCTTCATCCTGCCCCGCAGTGTGCACTGTTCAGTATCATCAACCATTTCTTCTTCCTTGAAATTCTATCTCGGCTTCCATGACATTTCAGTCTCCCGGTTATTCTCTCTCTCTTGAACTACTCGCCTAAAGTAGGTGTTCCCCAATAATTTGTTCTTGGTGTCCCCTTTCTCTCTCTCTCCCCCCACCTCCCCTTGTGGCTTAAAGCCATCACCGCCATGTAAGCAATGACCAAATCTACATCTACTCCCGATCTCTCCCAG